AATAGAGTTTTCAAATCCAAAACTGAAGATACACTAGATTTTCTAACCAATATGAATCGTCCAGCTTGCTTGCCTATTATAGATGACATTCAATTTTAGATGACATCCGTGAACCTGAAAATGATACGGTCGAAGACCTCTGCTCTATTCTCGCAGAAGAATTGAAGTTGACAGAATCGAAAACGACGAAAAGGTAGTTTGTGCAACCTTCAGCCATTAAAACTAATGCCAGTAATTACAATTAGGTTAACGGATTTTGCCACATCTCTATACATTCGTCATACTTTAGTTATGCTACGCAGAGAGCAGTCAAATTTTAGCAGTCTACCCACTTTTAAACGATAGATATAATCTCGATCACGGCATCGAACAAATTGACGAATATTACACTGATGATGAAGTCGAATTGCAACCATCGAAATGCAGGCCGATCATTATGACACTGAGTACTATCAAGAAAGTCAGAAAACGTTTTTGGATCTGAAGACCAGGAACTAAATCAAATCTGGCCAGGAATGACCTGAGACTGTAGACGGCTGGCCAGACTGGGCAGATACAAGCCAGCTGTTTCGCATTTTATGCAGCAGTGAAACTGATCTCACAAAAGATTCTACAAGATATCTCCCCTACCTCGACTGAGAATTTCAAAAAAGCATGATTCACCTTTTCGACGAATGCTAGTCTAATCTTTTTTCAACACTATGAATAAGTTTGTTCTGATCATCCGACAATATTATCAAGACAATCTGACTTCTTGGATTCTCCTACTCAAAAACGCATTTGTAAAATAATCACCTCATCAATTTTCAAACCAAAAGCATTATTCACAGTCACAAATCCAGACTCTACAAAGAAAACTCAGTAGCAATGACTATCATTCCAATCCTACTAACGGCTCAGAATACGTTTTAAACTTCAGTAATTTGTATTTCAAACTCCGTTATCTATCTAGCTATTGAAGCAATTATAATTATCTGACAAAATCAAACAACGCTGTCAAAATCAAGTGTGGCCCACAAATAATTGATAACCTTTTGTCAAGTTCGCAGTACTAACTCCAGTTCGACAAAATAACGAAAAAACTCTTTGTGTTACAGCGGTTTTTTTTGGTCAAAATTAACTTTTGAATAGAATGCCCACGACCTCAGCCGCTTTCTCTTATAATTTTCACAACAGGCTATCCGAGTTGCTGCCGTTCCTACTGGTCCTTATGTTACCGTTAAATTGAATGCCCACAACTTCAGCCTAACACTGTAACAGACATTTAGTACCCTATATCGTCATTAATGATAGCATCTCCTTAACTCAGTAAGCAGGTATTCAGCGCGAAATTTTCAAATAATCTGCCTTTTCACGAAAAATTTTTTCACTCTAAAGGTATCAGCCGTTTTACAGCGCCAGTTTTTCAAATACCCAGTGCATTAGCCTACCGATAAATTGAGTCCTCAGAATAAATTAACATCAATCGTTACATCAAAGTTACCTTTTGACCCGAAAATTACTTTTCTGTCAACCATGATTTTTGGTTCAGTTCCACATGAACCAAAGAAAATGCTCACTGTACAGTTTTCTATGCGAATAAATCCGGTGATTGGAAAATTTATCCTGACAGATAAACTCAAAGTTACCACGAAAAGCGCCAAAAAAACCCTATCTAGCCATCTACCACATCATGGAAACCAAATACCACCTTGCGGACGATATCAAATGCACAGCCTACCGATTGGCAGTGCTGATGATCAATTCTCCATTCTTATTTTTCTACTTTGACTAATTACGGATCATACCTCATGTCCCAAACATTTCTACTACCTTCTCCTCGACTACTTTTTTTTTTAAAAAAAGGCTAACAAAAAATATGTTATCATACTACAAAGAAATATATATTTTTTGTGCCCCACTCATTGAGGAAACTTCGATGATAACCTTTTGTCAAGTTCGCAGTACTAACTCCAGTTCGACAAAATAACGAAAAAACTCTTTGTGTTACAGCGGTTTTTTTTGGTCAAAATTAACTTTTGAATAGAATGCCCACGACCTCAGCCGCTTTCTCTTATAATTTTCACAACAGGCTATCCGAGTTGCTGCCGTTCCTACTGGTCCTTATGATACCGTTAAATTGAATGCCCACAACTTCAGCCTAACACTGTAACAGACATTTAGTACCCTATATCGTCATTAATGATAGCATCTCCTTAACTCAGTAAGCAGATCTTCAGCGCGAAATTTTCAAATAATCTGCCTTTTCACGAAAAATTTTTTCACTCTAAAGGTATCAGCCGTTTTACAGCGCCAGTTTTTCAAATACCCAGTGCATTAGCCTACCGATAAATTGAGTCCTCAGAATAAATTAACATCAATCGTTACATCAAAGTTACCTTTTGACCCGAAAATTACTTTTCTGTCAACCATGATTTTTGGTTCAGTTCCACATGAACCAAAAAAAATGCTCACTGTACAGTTTTCTATGCGAATATATCCGGTGATTGGAAAATTTATCCTGACAGATAAACTCAAAGTTACCACGAAAAGCGCCAAAAAAACCCTATCTAGCCATCTACCACATCATGGAAACCAAATACCACCTTGCGGACGATATCAAATGCACAGCCTACCGATTGGCAGTGCTGATGATCAATTCTCCATTCTTATTTTTCTACTTTGACTAATTACGGATCATACCTCATGTCCCAAACATTTCTACTACCTTCTCCTCGACTACTTTTTTTTTTAAAAAAGGCTAACAAAAAATATGTTATCATACTACAAAGAAATATATATTTTTTGTGCCCCACTCATTGAGGAAACTTCGATGCAGGCAGCTCTGGTTGAAGTTTGCTACTTTATAAACCTTGCTGTCTTTTGCGAAACAATCTGAAGTAGCAGTCATGATTAGTTTCTAAAAATAAAATAATCACTAGTAATCCCAACATTTAGCGGTCAACAAGACTTACACTTTTCCACTCTTATTTAACTTGATAGAAAAAACCGGGACTTCACATTCAGTATGACATTTGAAACAAATGAGCCAAATTGATAGTTCTGCGGACAAGCGCGTCACTATTCTTATTCAATTCCTTAGTCTTTTCCTCTCAATATTATCTTCTCTTATAGCTAACAGGATATAGGTCCTTTATACCACTTGTTCCGACCAATCAAAGTTAAAAGTTTACAGCACACGAATCACTGGTTTCCACGATGAGCAATAATACTGCACACAAGAACAACCCGGCCTACTCCAGGATTACCAACGCCTTTACTAGCCAACTAGACATGCTCGGTGTAAATTTACCCTCACCCAATTAAACCACTTTTAACAAATTGTTTTGAAGGCATTTAGACCATACGACGTCAATTTGGAAAAATCCCCGTAAATCCGAAATTTTTTCGAATTAGGCGAACTCAAGGACGCCTACTACCAGCCCGTTGTTATACCCTTTAGCAAAAAATTACAATTTACAACGGCGTGCAATTCGTCGATGGCGTTTTTGATGACTACATCTTCAGTGACGACTTAACCATCAGTCTCTTCTTCGTTGGATTCCTGTACAGTGATATGCCCTAAACAGTCCTTAAACTCCATCCGTGATGACTACAAAGAGGTTCTTGAAGATCTGGAAGACCCCAATGTCACTTACCTCGTCGAATTCGAAATCAGGAATTACGAAGCCTAACGAATTACTACTGAGCGAAGTTTTCCCGTTTGAAGATGACGAATCATCAATACCATCTGCACTCACCTGCTTCCCTCTAAATTTCTACGTCCACATCGACTTGAACCTCAAATTGGCCACATTCTCCGAATATTCATTTCTACCATACAGAACATTCACAGTGCGACTCGAGTTGCTTGATGGCTCCACTCTACAGTGAGACGTTTTCGCAACATATGACCCAATTTGCAGCCGAATTCATCAATTCATTCTGCACAACACCGACGCATACATCGATGGATGTTTCGAGCTGTACGAGAGCTAGGTTGCTGTACACTGTTCAGGAATCCAACGAAGAGACTGATGGTTAAGTCGTCACTGAAGACGTAGTCATCAAACACGCCATTGACGAAATGTACGCCGTTGTAAATTGTAATTATTTTGCTAAAGGGTAATACAACGGGCTGGTAGTAGGCGTCCTCAAGACCCCAATGTCACTTTTTAAAAAAATTGACAAAAGTTAGTATTCTGCCCGAGCAAAAAAGATGCCCCGAACCAGTGCTTAGAATTTTTGGAAGGGGTTACCCCCTATAGCTAGATTCTTCAAGTCACTTTGCACTCCTCTCCACCTCTTACCTTTAAGCCTTTCGTACCTTCTGTCTTCACCTTTTATGATAACTTTTATTTACTTATACGATTTTCCTTAAATTACCATGACTACAACGGCAACACACGCAGCCACTGCTGTGGCGTTTTCATCACTTCCAAGCACAGAACTCGACTAGTATCCCATAAATTGCCAAAAACCGCGTTTTTGTTTAAAAAAAAACAGCTATTTTAGCGATACTAAACGAAGCTACAGAAACCTAAAAACTCTAAACCTGAAAAAAAAAGTAATTATTCTGCTCAACAACTATGACTGACCTCTGGAAAAATCCATTATAATTGATTAAAACCGATTATAAGGGCTTATATTGGCATAAAAAAGATAAAAAAATATAATCCATTTTTATTGGATTATAATAATCGATTATAATGGATTATATTGATAAAAAAATACTATGATTATAATCCATTTTTGATGGATTATAATCGATTATTTTTGTAATTTTATAGATGCTGACTATAAAATGACAATATAATCAATTATCATCCATGGAACTCCAGTACGCGATAACAATAACACCAAGATAATAGTAACATTATCATAGCTAATTCGTAATTAAACATCTGAAAAAATTTTATGCTATTTTATTTTCTTGTCCCCTAACAAACCGTTCTTTAGGACAATTAGATTTTATGATTGGCTTTGGTAGTCTGTTATATCCTGCTGTTTTTATCTGTCAGCTGTGTCTGTCTCCTGAGTCGGTGCTAGTGAACAAACAGCTGTTCACGAAAGAGGAGCTTGTCGACAGTCTGCAACAGCTGAATGGACAGTGGTTCATCTACAACCAGATAGACAGGTGAGCCTCAAACGTCATTTAGTGAAATGAAATGCATAATGAAGCTCACGATTTTAGTCCATCCGCAAAATCATTGTTTTTTGAAAGATAATAGTCTGAAAAACTTTTCTTCGCTCAGTTCTTTTAAGTGTCAACGAACGATGTGAAGACATTTGTTTAGGTCGTGTAGGTTTTTGCTTTGTTGTTTGACTTTTTTCGTTTTTAATTTCAATTCGAAATCATTTGCTAAAAGGAAAGCAAATTACGCTCTGCAATACAATTACAAGAGCGCAAGTTGCTCAAACAAAACGTGAGTGACTTTAGTTTTTCTAGCGAAATATAGAAATCAGCGATTGACCCAGTTCTCTAAAAAGGTTAATTCTATGAAGAAAGTCAATCGGAAATATGTGTGATGTTTTTTTTGAAGTTCGAATGAAAAAGGTTTCAAGTCAGTTTCGGTGTCTTTGAGCTCATTGGCTCTTCTTCATTTTTATTGACTATGTTTGTTATATTTGGGCCTTGAAATGTTTTTTATTATACAATTTATTTCTATAATATATATACAAATTATTTTCTAATTTAAACTTTTTTTTGCTCGTGTTATTATCTGATTGTATACTGTTCATCTTTTAGTAAGTTTCGCCTGTCATTGTCTGACCTTCAGTGTGAACCACTCCTTCCGAGTGATATCAGTCATTTTTTCTAATACTTTAACTTTCCTTATTTGACACATTTTGTAATTCCTTAATTCTTTTAAATATTTTGGGTGAGAACATCAAGATCATATTATCTCACAAGTCTTTTGCAAAAATACCAGATCTTTCAGAACCCAATGGAAAAATTTATGATGACTTTGCAGGCCTTTCGATTGTATTATATGGGGCTAGAGGTTCTGTTTTCTTTTGGTTTGATCGTTTTCAAAGTTCCTTTCTGCAAAAGTTACTTCGAATACTTACACCAACCTTGTCATCGTTTTTATTTAAGTATATATTATCCTTCATTGACCTCCAAAATCCGAAAGAGTGGACCGAGACTCTTGCTTTACTACCCAGGAAGTTAAATTATTTTCCGATTCAAACAATAACTGTATATTTTGTGCAGTCAGAGACTACAGATCCAACTGACTAGAAAAAAATTGTAAATAATATAAAAACAAAATTCAAACACAAGGCTATTTGATTTACCCATACCCTCATTAAACGGCGCTGTATCCCGAATTATTTGAAAACTACTTTCGACTAACTAATGTTTGAAAAACATTTCGACACAAAACCGTATACTAACTGAAAATTATTGAATACCAAGGAAAGTCAACCTTTTCTAAGCATTGAATCGGGGATCAGACGATCGGATTGAAGACAACTACACAGACGAAACATTGCCTTGAAAAAATAGCAATCCGTCGGAAAGGTGTTACAACTCTGATAATCAAACACGACCGGGGTGCCGAACCCTAGATTCCATTTAACAAGTTTTTCAAAAAAGTACTTTTTTTCAAAGCTAACTGAACAAATGGAACTCCACATTTCGAAGATTTTCAAACAAAATTCATGAAATCATCGAAAGCAACGGATGAAATTGAAGGCGGAAAAATCATTCGAAAATACGGCATCGCTGTTGGTAAATCTGGGCAACTTTTTGGAGCAATATGTCGTTTTTTTTGTAACACTAATAACGAATCAGTGAAGAATCGGAAAAGAATCGGAATTCCTTATCCAGTGGCGACATTGACGACTGGCATTTCTCAGTCAGGTGAGACACCCACAACTGACAATCCACAGACAGCTCTGATTCAATGCTCGTCTCGGACATCAGCCCAAAATCAAAGAAAAGCTGCCTGCAAGGACATAAAGCCAAACGTAGCGACAACTGACTCCAAAAGATCCTTCAGAGAAAAAAAAACAGTCGACAGCCTCAAAATCACTCAAAAACAGTCTTCAAAAGCCAGGAAATTTTAGTATTGCCAATCTCAGGTTACTTTGCTTGTGACAAATCTAGTTTCATTCCTATGGTTACTTCAGACAATAGCGATTCGGAGTGGTCCGTGGGGGGCTTACCATGGATAACTGGGAAAAGAGAGTTTTGTTTCGGATACCTTAAAAATGCACAACTCTTCAGAACCGGTTTATCTTGATTCGATTTATAATATAACGATTGAACCTTAGATTTTAGATCTCATTCAGACGACCTAATGCCAGATAACAAATTCAACTCATCCTTCACTCCAGCAAAAAAAAACGACACTTTGTTTTATCTCACTGTTAACTCGCCCCATTGCTCTTCTTAGATCATCTAGAAACGCGGGACCTCTATTTTTTTGTTATTAGAAATTTTATTGGTGTTGTAGACCATATTACTAAAATTGAAACAGCCAACAACCCCATCAATATAGATCAGACCACAGATACTTGGGAAGCGAACACGAAGGAATGCTCTGCGATGATTCTTGAGTGCAACTCATCCTCAACTCCAGCGGAAGTCTTTTTTCACTCCAGGGATGCTTCTTTCATCCTAGAATCCTCAAACAACTTCCATTCACGACGGGAATCCTACGCTTTACCAGGCGACTGCACTTTCTCGACAAAAAGGACTCTTAAAGAAGGCTTGACAGAGACGTCGGAACTTGCAAAATTCAATACTCCTTCTCAATCAGATAGCCAAGTCCCTTTGGAATTAGATAGATTTTTGTCTGGAAAGTAGAACTCAAGCTTGTAAATTCAAAAATGCTCAGACACTAAATGTTATTGCCAATATCACTCAGAAGCGTACCACCTCAAATTTTTATTTTTTAATTTTTTTACTGTTACGTTTTGTTGAAATTAGTTTTTTTTTTTTAAATTTTCATACCAATTTCTTCCTGCCAAGGGAAGTGTTGTGTTCTGATTATATACTACTCGTCTAATAATTAGTTTAGCAGGCGCTTGTCTGACCTTCAGTGTAAACCACTCTTTCGCAGTGATCTCTGTCATTTTTTACCTTATGTCTTAACCTCTAAGTAATTCTCTTATTTTGATTCGCTCATATTTTTTTTAAGTATTTTAGCTGTAGCATTAGATAATTTCATCAGTTCGTGGGTTTCCTGATATATCAAGCCGGGTGAGAGTTGAAATCGCTTCTGCTTTAGATGCGGTCAGTCCAACGCCGTGAAGGGTAGTACCATCATTACGCCACTCAGTCTTGCGCTATTCGCGGGTGCTTCCCGAAGACCCGAGATAGAGTGGTTCTACATACAGTCGGGAAAACCCCGCCACAAGGCCGAAATCAACAATTCCAGCCAGAAGTGTAGTTCAAGTAGCACTCTTAAAAGTTTTCAAAGCACCTTTGAAGGAGACTTTGCTGCGACAGTGAATGCGTCTGTGGTCGAGTGTAGTTCTGATGATGATCTTACGGACTCTGAATTAGACCAGAGTCGGATGGTCCGAGGAGGCAATTCGGAGAATGCAGGATCGCCAGGGACCAACGGGGGCTCAGACATGGGAACTGCGACTATTGTGGTAGATGATTGGATATCGTTCAAGCTAGATGATCATGTAAGTTCTTTTGAATGTTTTTTACCCCAAGTGAATGTTTTTTACCCCAAGTGAATGTTTTACGCTTAAGTTTTTATTAAGTTTAAAAGAACAAAGTCTCTGTAAAAATCCTGATATTATGATCATTCAAAAATTTTATGAAGTCCTTCTTCTACCGCTGATTTGTTTAAAATCTTTGTTGTCAAAAGCAGGGGCGGATCTAAGATTTTCTCGAGGGTGGGGGCGGATTTTCAGAAAAATTTCAAAATTTTATCGACCTTTTTTAGGTCGACCAAATTGATTTTTCTGAGCTCTCCCAAAGCACTAAAAAGTCCCTGTTTCGGCGAAAATTTCTGCACCGCAGGCAAAAATTTGAAAAAGCAGGCCAAAAAAGCGTTTTTAAGCACTTTTTGGAAAAATTAAAAAAAGAAGCGTCCCCCCCCCCCCCCCCCCCTCTAAATCCACCCCGGTCAAAATTGTATCAAATTTTTTTATGTACAATGTTTTAATGAGTAATATTGTAACTCATATTCGGAGCGATAAAAATGGAGGATTGCTCTTTTTGCAGAGTGGGAGCAATGTCAAGAGAATGCGACAGAAGTGGCACGCATTACTGCTGCGGAAACTGAAGAACCCCAGCAAAGCATTCACGGAGTCTGATGATGTCAGTAGAGTACTAACTAGTTATCAACTAGTTACTAAATTTTGTAAAATATCAATACACTTTTTGTCGATTTAAAAAGAAATAGTTTCACAAGATTCCACAAGCTTAAATTTTAGTCAACAGTTAATTGAAAATGACGCTGCTTTTAAAAAAATAAAGGCAACTATACGCTGGGATTTTTCTTAGAAAAATGGATTTTCAGAATGAAAATCAAGAACTTCAGTTCAACCATTATTTTTCTGTTCAAACTCTTCCAAAAATCATCCTCAGAAACAGTGATTGTTTCAGCAAGTGATCAGGTGCATCGCCCAGGTGTTGAACGAGGAGGAACAGAGTCTGGAACTCAACTGCCCTCCAGGCATTGGACAGAAACCAAGACCGAACCGTGAGTCTTTGCAATTCGAAAACAAAAAACTTCTGCGAGATTGTTTTTTCTTATTAGCCCCATTCCTACCCACTGCATGGTTGTCCTGGGAAATTGTTCGTCCCGACTTGCTGCTTTATTTGACGCTTACACACTTCAGGTTCAGCAAGATGCTGTAAAAGAGAGCAAAAATGACTTTTTTGGTGACGCTATCTTTTTATGCTGAAAGAATTTTTTCTAAAACACGACGCTTGGTTTCGACAAATAACTACAAATATAAGAAAAAGTTTGTTTCTTTAATAGTTGTTCTTACTGAAAGTCATAGTTTACACCAGTCAAGCAAATAACCACATAGTCACTAGTTAATCTAAAGTTCTATGACATTAAAATGTTTTGTTTCCAACTTAGATCTGAACATGAGTAGCACCAATCAGTCCTCCATGTCTTCTCCAGTGGTGTCTCAACATCAACAACAGTCCTCCGGTGGATCTCTGGCACAGTCAGCCTCTACATTCGACAACTCACATGTACAGTATGATCTGACCAAAGACGAAAGCTACAACCAGTTTCTGGCCACTGCTAGCGATATGACATTGGGTATACGGTTTGACAATATATATCGGCATTTTGAAAAATTTAAAAGGGAACACCAACATTTGCTAAATTGGAGGAGGGTACCAAAAAAGCGCAAAAAATTGTTTTTTTTGACATTTTTACCTAATGTGTCAATCAAGAAGGTTTCCAGAATAGGCTCATGAACTTTTGGTTTTATGAATTTTTAAAGTTAGGTCTTATAGTATAAAGTCGGTTTCCTGAAAATGCAGACTCTTTTGATATCTTGTTTAATGCTCAAAATAACTAACTGGCTAGAACCATCAATTTTCACACGACCTATTAGAAGTCTTTAAAGGTTTCTGCGTTTTGGTGTTTTTAAAGATCATCTTTTCCCCTCCATTTCCAATATTTATCTGAATCAGTTCAAAACCATTGGCGTGCTTTTTAGAATGTTACGCATCCAACTTGCCCCCCTCTAGGCGCGACACGGCGCAGTTCCTAGAAGCACACATGGGCAAACCAACTGCTTACGTCATTATATCAGTGAGCAATGCGAGTGACGTCATAGAAACGACCTTGGGCGAACTGTCGAAGGATAATTGCAACCAGCAGCATGAAGGGAATGCGGTGGAGTCGAGTGGATCCTTGAAAATGGTCAAAACTAGTTCGCGCAATGTGGAAAAGCTGAACAGTCTCATGGGAGTAAGTTCAGCTCTGTAGTTATTGTAGCCAACCCCCTGTCAAATAAACGTGCTTGTGTTTTTAAACTGCATGATTCTGATAAGCAAAATAAGATCTTTGGGAAACGGATATTCAAAAGTATTTACTTCGTGGAGTAAACCAAACGATCAAAACGCAAGAAACCTAAACTTAACTGTAAAATTTTGGTTCAAATATATATTTTTCCGATGTTTTCTGTCTTACCTTGAAACAAATTTGTTTCAGGAAGGATACGCAGTGATTATCTTTCTGAAGCTGAGTCAAGTGCCAATTAGTAAGTATTTTCTTCTTGATTAAAGTCTTTCATAAACACTAGCTGAGCTAGCTAACAATTAGTTTAAACTAAAATAAAAGGTTCCGTTTTTGTTCCAGGTGGGAGGAAAATTTCAGATATTCTGACTGGTAAGTTATTACTTGAAGGACTGAGCTTCTAAATATTACTCTTCGCTATTTAAACATCAGTTGGCTGTAAAATAAATTAGTTATAATTAATTCATTCATGATTAACCTTTGGGTTTGGCCTCCGCCTGCTTACCTAACTTTTTTTTCTGGATCCTCTGATCACTTTCTTGTAGTGTCGTTATCTGTTCTGTGTAGACTTGTTCCTCATGATCGGTTTCGGCCACGAGACGAGATCGTCCGAGCGAGGGCTAGTCCCCGTACGTCAAATGACATTCGGGGCCGAAGTGAACCTGGACTTGGTGAAGTTGCTGAGATCGGACGGGTTGTCGATCAACAAGATATCGGACGGGGACCAGTTGGATCCAGGGGCGGGCAGAGGACTGTGTGAATACATTGTGCAATCGGCTGAACAGAGGCGGAGACCGGCAGCAGTTAATCAAATTCAACAGGTGCTTAATCAACAAAAGTTTAAAAAATCAGTACACAATAATTCTGGTTTCTGCGACTCGCAGAGGCTCTGTCGTAGGCTATCCAACCTGTCTAAGCATAGTTTGTTTTTTTTTTGCGTCGTGAAAAATGCATTAAAGTTATTTTCGAGAACAAGCGGCCAAACACGTAGTGGACATTTTCCCAATGTCCAATCTAGAAACCGAGCATCAAACCGCTCACCAGGAACCATGGGCGGACCGGACCGGACCTATGATTTTCTCGAGGGGGGGAGGGCGGATTTTCAAAAAAAAATTCGAGAAAATTTTGTCGACCCTTTTTTTCTAGGTCGACCAAATTGATTTTTCCAGCTCTCCCAAGGCACTACAGAGACCCTGTTTCGGCAAAAAAATTTTGGCAAAAGTTTTTAGGCAGTTTTCTTTGGAAAATTTGTCCAAAAAATCGCGTTTTTTCATCGCGCGTTCCCCCCCTCAAAATTAGTATATATTGGCGCCGAAGGTGCCCTTAGAACCATTTTAGGGCCCGTCACCAAAAATGGATATCTCAAAGTAGTACAAAGGGGGACCCTTTGGGTTGGCTGGGGGTCGAATTCCTGAGGGTAGGAAAGCGTCCGCCCCCCCCCCCCCCCAAATCCGCCGCTGATCACTGTTTATCCCAATTTTTTCTGCATACTTACCGCTCGGAAGTTTTTATGCTAGGTTATTGCTGGCTGTTGTATTCCTCAACAACAAAATAAGAGGGTTCGAACCTGATCCGGGTCGGATGTTTTTTATGAACTTGTTCGTATACTAGTTAAAATGCGTCCGCTCTATAAATTGAGGCATGTTAGTTGGTAAATTTCATTTTTTCAAATTGACTGGTATTACTAATGCGTCATTATTTGGCTTGCGTCACTTAGCATTTATTTAGACTCATAATTAGCGTGCCTCACTGAAGAATATTTGTAGACTCAAAGTTTTACTCATTCAGTTTTTCCCAGTAGCGTTATCGGTCATATTTTTGCTTGTGTATGCAAACTGCAACTCCGCCCCTGTAATTCTAAATCGATGGCGCTAAAACTTTCACTGTAGTTTAGAGTGGGTAGTTCGGATAGTTTTAGGGCGACTTTGTTAATTAACGGATGATTTTGGAACTGGTTTTGTGAAAAATAATGATGAAGCTCATGAGAAGACTTGAACGAAGCAGCAAGCCTAAATGTGGTTTCTCTGATGATTTCGAGTAATTGTTTGGTCATAGATGAAAGTATTAAAATTAATCAACTCAGAGATCTTTACATTTGAGATTTGTTTCCCCGCACTTTGTTAAATCGCTAGAAAAGTCAAAATTGTTTCTGAAAGTCACTGTGAGTTGTAACCTGCCTATTTGAAGTTGTAATTTAACATTCTTCCATTTTTCTGATAAAAAAGAATCAACATCATGATTACACGTTTTGGCTAACACTGAACAGCGAAAAGTATCGCACTTCCTAAGCAAACAAAATCGAGCAAAACTAACTAATTTTTCTATCGTTCCTGAAGAAAAAAGCCATTAAGCTCAATTATCGTTTTCCTCTCGTTGTGTCTGAAACACATTGTCGTCTCTGTGTCTCCTTAATTGAGCGCAACCTGTTGATTGCAACTAAAAAAAATGTTTTCAAGCTCCCTTTTCATTATAAAAAAAAACACAAACTAAAGGTTTTGCTTGAAAAGTTTACATTTGGAATCGAAAATTAAATAAGAAATAACACAGAGAACACAAAGAAGAACAACACAAAAGAACGTTCCAAAGTACCGATACTTTACTTCGGAGGGACAAAAGTACGGTTTTTTGTAAATTTTCTCATTGATTTCAAGCAAACAAAAACACAGAAAAGGAGGCATCTGATTTTTTCCCAAAAATGAAATCTAATTTCAATTTAATTTTCAAAAAAGCCTAGAGACAGTTTTGTTTTACAAATAAAAAAAACAGTTCGAAAAACGAAAAGGTTTTTTTTTCGTATCAAAAAAAGAAAATGAGGCAAAAACAGTCAGTTTTTCCCCCTTTCTTATTTAGAACTTGAACAACAATGGAAGGTGCCAATTCTTACAAAATGTCACCAATAACAGCGAATATTGTCTCAATTAATTTCAGGCTCCTTTATATTGAGTTGACCCGATCTATAGAATTCTTAAAGGTGCAGACAGAAAAAGGGACCCATATTAATTTTTCAAAGGTCACTGAAGACCAGTTGGAATAGATGAAAATAAAACAACCGAAGTGTTTGCCAATGGATCTTCCGAAGACACCGAGGATAATATGAAGACATGTGCTTCTCTTTCAAAAAAAATTCTAGAGCTAACACTTCAAAGCTTTGAGCAAAGATTTAACCAGCACATCTATTTCCATTCGAAGTCAACTACATAGAAGAACAAAAGAAACGTTTGTCAATGATCCACATGCCCGAGAGCAATTAACCTAACCCTCTACTAAGCACATAAACAGGTTATCCGATGGAGAACAAACTAGTTTTCGCCATGATATGACACTTCAACGAAGCTCAACCAACGACGTAGCGCAACGCTATTTAAACCACGCTAAAATTGAATCCATGTTTAGTCGAGAGAAGAAAGGTTAAACAAATTAAGGTTTCCAGTATTTCAACAAACTATTCCGTCGACGAATCATCTACTACTCGCATCAGGACAAAAAGCGTCGCCTGTACAATTAAAATTAAATCCAAGCTATGATTTAATCCAATTTTTAGCTCCTCAATTCATACAAAATTTCACGAAAAAAAAATTATATTTTTTGGAGTCCTCGTTTGCTTATATCAACAGACAACAGCCAGGAAATGTTTTAAAAACATAGAAATTGAAGGATCAGCAAATTTATCTTAGAGGTCAGGAAAACGTAGAACATGATACAAATCCCCTACTGTTTTCCCAGTAAATCAGAACACTTTTTCGCAAAAAAAACGCAAAATAACGTTTTCCAGGCAATTTTTATCTGAACAACCAAGAAGTCGATACTCAAGAAAAACGGAAACCAAACAAACAATCATCATCTTGAACAGGCCTCTGGTAGTCCAACCTCATCAAACAAGGAACAGAAGAAAAATGCAATTTGAAACACTCATTCAAGGTATTTCACTAATCCTAACTATAACGAAATGCAACCGAGTGCAAACTTATCCGAAAAACCAAATAGTGGAAGCTGATGAGAGTTATTGAAATCAAACAAACAACCTGTTTGCACAGCATCTTTTTGATCAGGGTTTCAATAACCCAACTTCATGAAACAGCGAACAAAATAGAGAAGATTTCGAACAAAGTAGTTTGAGGGTTTTCAGTCATCCTAGTTACAACCAAATGCAACCTATTCCAACTATTCAATTTTTTCAAGCTGACCGAGCGTTTTTACCCCTATAAGAACTACCTCTAAATAAACTGACTAACTACGGCGGGAACTCATTTGCCTACCACGATTGGATAAATTATTTCAGGCTACAAACGACTGGAATATTATTAATAGTAACATTCATCGGAGGACCTACTTTTAGGACTCTGTATCAGGGAAAGCAAAGTTTTTCATCAAAGCGTACTCGTTTAACCCTGCTTTCTGAAAATTTGCACAAATGGATCTTCAAAATCGTTTTGGTCAAGAAACAATTAGTTAAAAACGTATAAAAAGTAAATTATTACTTCTCAAATGTATCAAAAGCAAAAGTCGTGACGCTTTGCTCCTGGAATGCATTGATTACGGTTTCGGCAAAAACCTGCATAACAGCAACGTGAAATCTTTTAGAAGTGGCTGAAAATACGAGCAAAATCTTTGAACGGCTGCAAGGGACACTTTTTCCTGGGAATGTCTGCAAATAAATTAAATGGACTTTATACTTACGATTAGTCAAATTTTTTTATCGGTAAAAATCAAAACGCCAAAATTGGGTCTGACAATTGTATGACAAAAAAACTGAGCTAGTTTTGCAAAAAACGCTTCAATTGATCGCAGGGCCACTTTTTTTCTATTGACCTGAACTGGCAACAGTTGAAAAAAAAGCTTGCTGGACAACATAAAACATGCTTAAATAGTCTGAGTTCCCAACGTTCACGAAGCAATTACACTTCAGAGAGATGATGTCAACAATGTAAAAAAAGTTCACCAAATTATCTGTTCATGACCCATCTCGAATTGCAAACCAGTACAGTACCGTGGAGGATTTATGGAGAATTCACTGCTTCAGAAAAAGTAACGATGAATGATTGCCAAATGTTTGGGTTAAACAGTTGCAGTTGGTTCTAATTTTGTTCGTCAGTAATGGTAAATTTTTTGATACTTATGCTCTCAATGTAATGACCCCGTCATCCATTCTACTTTTATGCTTGACCACATTGCAGACTTTTTAGATATCCATAATCAGAAACCGCCTATACGCCGTTACAAATTATAGATGTAAGCCATAAGATGCTGGCTGCAAAACTGGACAAGATCTCGATTTTGGCATTTACCAAAAAAGTGGACAACTATTCCCAATCCGCAGTGTTTATAAAACACCGATCATGAACATACCTCCAGCAGAAATGGCTCATCTGAATGAAATATGTCAAACTTTTTTCAAAATTTGAACACATTAAATTATGCAACATTGCTAGCGGAAAAATTGAAGAGCTGTTGGCTTAAAAGGTGCTTGTGTGCGTACCCATTCAGGTTATCGCAAAATGATTGCCGCACTACATATATGAACTCGATTAGGCTAGACAACCGCAGAGAGTATCGTCAAACCATAGCTCCCGCCCGAATGATCTAAGTGTGCAGCAGATAAACTTCGGGTTTTGCAGTCCAAGTTACAAAAAAATAAACTCATTATGTTGAGCAACCATTGGATTTCTTGGTTCAGTAGTTCTAAAAAAGATGAAGAACTTGGACTAGAAAGAGCAGAAATTGATATACTCACTAGGAACAATTTAGCGCAATTCTATTCCTCTAAAATACAATAACACCAAGGGGAACGGTATGAAATTGCTATACCGTCAAAAATTCAACA